CAGGCGATAGAATTGAATAAACGTCGATGAGTGCTTGGAAAAAGCAGAACCCGAAGAGTGTGAACTGAGGAAATTTGTTACTTAAAATAAAAAAAGGAAAATAATAGTTAATAAAAGCATAAATGAGATAGCTTTTATAGTGGATAAAAAAAAGAAATTTGTCTAAGCCATTTAGTATACCAATCGGTCTGTTTGGGCCAATGCACTACAGGCTGGATGCGGTCTGAGTAAATCATAGTACAACTACACCTTAAACTGAAATAAAAACAGTTAGTAGCTCGGTTAAACAGTAACACAGACTCCACTCAATCGCATCCTATAAGGTGAATTTTTAGAGTTCAACAATTACCTTGCCACTAGTAAACACACAACTTCATCTGCAATCTTCGTCCATGTTATTCAATCACTTTTGGAAGTCAAGAAAGAGGAACAGAAGATAATATGCAGAGATTAAGAGTTCTGGAGGTCGGAAACAGGAAAGCACAAATGCAATTTAGTGGGATCGCTGATTTATTTAAATGCTCTAACCTCCTTCAGTTGAGAAGACATTTGTCTACGAAGTCCACATTCTTCTGGCGGCACAGAAGCTTGGCGATTAATATAAGATACTAAAATAAATTATACAAACTCAAGCAGCTTGCAATAAAAATTCCTTTGTAATCATGAAAGCATGCACAAAACCGTTCATAATTTATAAGCTGCAAAATAAAACTAGTCAAGAAAACTTCCGAAATTAATCATCACTATGGAAATCTGACGCATCAAACCATAAAGATACATGCCCACAGAGCGTCATCAAGCATAAAGATTGATCCTACCCGCAAATCAAAGCCTATTTTATTTATAAAGGTCCCTATTCCGCTTACCCTTAAGCCCCATCTCAAACAAGTCAGATTATCAGCAATACAATAGGAACCATTAATAAGCGTTTTCTAAAAAAGCCAACGAAACACTAAATAATAGTTCAATTCTATAAATTAGTGAACAAGCATCACCGCATTTCTGCCGGCCTTCAAGCACGGTGCGTCGTCACCAATCCCTTCAGCTGTAACATTAACGGGAGCAGCTATAGACGTTACGGTCACGTCCT